ATATTTTCATTCTTACTGGTAAATAGCGGCACCCCCAAACCAATGGTTGATGATGGCTAACAACAAATAATAAGGTGATATAACCACTAATAACCACTAATAATAAGGATATCATGGATGATACATAGAGGCCCCCCCAAACCAATGGTTTATGATAGTTAATAACCAACAATAATGGGATATCACCGCTAATAATAGGGATATCATGGATGATAAATAGGGGCGCCCCCAAACCAATGGTTTATGACAGGTAATAACCGGGCGAACTGTCGGTTGTACACTTGAGTTCTGTGTCGGTTGATGTCGGTTGTACACTTGAGTTTTGTGCCGGTTGTACACTTGAGTTTTGTGTCTCTTGTGCACTTAAGTTTCGGGTCACTTGTACACTGTTGTTTTCTGGGTTGCTTTGCAGACCGCAGTGCAGGCCACGTGCAGTATGAGGTGGGGTGGGGTGTGATGTTAATGCCAGCGGGGCAGAAAACGTACGTGTAGTCGTGCGCATTTTCAGCAAGAGTATTTGTTCATGACGTGGATGGTGTTTGCTTTGAGCATCATTCTTGTGCTACTTACTATGTTGTTCCATCATACCCACCCCACCCCACCCCACCTCACCCCACCCCACCGCACCCCACCCCACCCAGACCCTAAAGTGTCAATGATGTTTGATCGTGAACATCACTCTTGTATTGCTTACCATGTTGTTCCATCATACCCACCCCACCCCACCCCACCCAGACCCTAAAGTGTCAATGATGTTCGATCGTGAACATCACTCTTGTATTGCCTACCATGTTGTGCCATCATACCCACCCCAACCCCACCCCACCCAGACCCTAGAGGGTCAATGATGTTTGCCCGTGAACATCATTCTTGTATTGCTTACCATGTTGTGCCATCATACCCACCCCAACCCCACCCCACCCCACCCAGACCCTAAAGGGTCAATGATGTTTGCTCGTGAACGTCATTCTTGTATTGCTTACCATGTTGTTCCATCATACCAACCCCACCCAGACCCTAAGTGTTAATGATGTTTGATCGTGAACATCACTCTTGTATTGCTTACCATGTTGTGCCATCATACCCACCCCAACCCCACCCCACCCCACCCAGACCCTAAAGGGTCAATGATGTTTGCTTTTGAGCATCATTCTTGTGCTACTTACTATGTTGTTCCATCATACCCACCCCACCCCACCCCACCCAGACCCTAAAGTGTCAATGATGTTTGCTCGTGAACATCTTTCTATGTTGTTGATGACCCCCTTCCCTCATGTATTGTGTCCAAGTGCGCAAGTGACGGCTAATTTGGCTTTAAGTGCGCAACTGACGTCGAGTGCGCAACTGACGTAAAAGTCCAGTGCGAAAGTGACAGCAACGCCTAATAACCAACAATAATGGGATATAACCATTAATAATAGGGATATCATGGATGATAAATAGGGGCACCCCCAAACCAATGGTTTATGATAGTGAATTACCAACAATAATGGGATATAACCGCTAATAATAGGGGTATCATGGATGATAAATAGGGGCACCCGCAACCATAGTGGTTGATATAACCAACAATAATGGTTTCTACAACCAGTAATAGGGATATAATATAATAGTATGATGGGTCCATGCCGGGCCTCTCAGCGAGCAGTGCAGCAGGCAAAAACCGTTCCTCTCGTCCGGCTGTGGGGTTGCCACTTGAACACTGTGGTTGCAGATCGCATTGGAATGGCTGCATGAATGTTGCATGGGCTATGTTTTGGGGAGGAAGCCGGAGCACGAAACCTTGTGTTTTTCCGTGTAAAGTGGCTGCAGGCGACGATGAAAGGTACCTCGTGTGTGCGACGGGTGCGGCTGGGGTCGTTTCATGCGCGAATTGTTCCTCCTATGTGTTTTGCAACGAGTGGTTGTGTCTGCGTGCGTAGTTCTATGCGTTTCTTGAAGCTGTGGTGGCAGATCGCATTGGAATGGCTGCATGAATGTTGCATGGGCTATGTTGTGGGGAGGAAGCCGGAGCACGAAACCTTGTGTTTTTCGGTGTAAAGTGGCTGCAGCCGGCGATGAAAGGTACCTCGTCTGTGCGGCGGTTGCGGCTGCGGTCGTTCCGGACGCGATTGGTTCCTCCTATGGGTTTTGCAAGAATCTTTGTTCCTGTGTGCGTAGTTCTATGCGTTTCTTGAAGCTCTGGTTGCAGATTGCATTGGAATGGTTGCATGATGTTGCATGGGCTATGTTTTGGGGAGGAAGCCGGAGCACGAAACCTTGTGTTTTTCCGTGTAAAGTGGCTGCAGCCGGCGAAGAAAGGTACCTCGTCTGTGCGGCGGGTGCGGCTGGGGTCGTTTCATGCGCGAATTGTTCCTCCTATGTGTTTTGCAACAATGGTGGTTCCTGTGTGTGTAGTTCTATGCGGTTCCTGAATCTCTGGTTGTATGATCGCATTGGAATGGCTGCATGAATGTTGCATGGGATATGTTTTGGGGAGGAAGCCGGAGCACGAAACCTTGTGTTTTTCCGCGTAAAGTGGCTGCAGCCGGCGAAGAAAGGTACCTCGTCTGTGAGGAGACAATACCCGGGGGCAAGGAGGCGGGGGAGGCATACCCAATCTCCCTCTCCCCAGTCCTACTTAAATTCTCTCCGTCACCAGTGCTTCCACACCCCTCCCCTTTCATCTTCCTCATGCGCCGACATTGTTTCATCCTATGTGGGTTGCAACGTTGTGGTTTTTTTTTTTTTTTTGGTTCCTGTGTGCGTAGTTCTATGCGGTTCTTGAATCTCTGGTTGCATGATCGCTTTGGAATGGCTGCATGAATGTTGCATGGGCTATGTTTTGGGGAGGAAGCCGGAGCACGAAACCTTGTGTTTTTCCGTGTAAAGTGGCTGCAGCCGACGATGAAAGGTACCTCGTCTGTGCGACGGGTGCGGCTGGGGTCGTTTTGCGCGCGAATTGTTCCTCCTATGTGTTTTGCAACGAGTGGTTGTGTCTGTGTGCGTAGTTCTATTCGGTTCTTGAAGCTGTGGTTGCAGATTGCATTGCAATGGCTGCATGAATGTTGCATGGGCTATGTTTTGGGGAGGAAGCCGGAGCACGAAACCGTGCGTTTTTCCGTGTAAAGTGGCTGCAGCCGACGATGAAAGGTACCTCGTCTGTGCGGCGGGTGCGGCTGGGGTCGTTTTGTGCGCGAATTGTTCCTCCTATGTGTTTTGCAACGAGTGGTTGTGTCTGCGTGCGTGGTTCTATGCGGTTCTTGAATCTCTGGTTGCAGATTGCATTGGAATGGCTGCTTCATTGTCGCCATTTGATCTTGCCACGTGCGTAGATAGGTGTGGGTTTGCAACGGGATGCTGCGAAACGCATTGTAATGGCTGCATGAATGTTGCATGGGCTATGTTTTGGGGAGGAAGCCGGAGCACGAAACCTTGTGTTTTTCCGTGTAAAGTGGCTGCAGCCGACGATGAAAGGTACCTCGTCTGTGCGGCGGGTGTGTGCGCGAATTGTTCCTCCTATGTGTTTTGCAACGAGTGGTTGTGTCTGTGTGCGTAGTTCTATGCGGTTCTTGAAGCTGTGGCTGCAGATTGCATTGTAATGGCTGCATGAATGTTGCATGGGCTATGTTTTGGGGAGGAAGCCGGAGCACGAAACCTTGTGTTTTTCCGTGTAAAGTGGCTGCAGCCGGCGATGAAAGGTACCTCGTCTGTGCGACGGGTGCGGCTGCGGTCGTTTTGTGCGCGAATTGTTCCTCCTATGTGTTTTGTAACGAGTCGTTGTGTCTGTATGCGTAGTTCTATGCGGTTCTTGAATCTCTGGTTACAAATTGCATTGGAATGGCTGCATGAATATTGCATGGGCTATGTTTTGGGGAGGAAGCCGGAGCACGAAACCTTGTGTTTTTCCGTGTAAAGTGGTTGCAGCCGGCGATGAAAGGTACCTCGTTTGTGCGACGGGTGCGGCTGCGGTCGTTTTGTGCGCGAATTGTTCCTCCTATGTGTTTTGCAACGAGTGGTTGTGTCTGTGTGCATAGTTCTATTCGGTTCTTGAATCTCTGGTTGCAGATTGCATTGTAATGGCTGCATGAATGTTGCATGGGCTATGTTTTGGGGAGGAAGCCGGAGCACGAAACCTTGTGTTTTTCCATGTAAAGTGGCTGCATGCGTAATATTATTGCCTTTTGCAGCTGAACATCGTAAATCGTATTGGAATGGCTGCATCCACGCTGCGATGGTGATTTGTCAGCAGATTTTCTCAACTTTGGGCGCTAGTAATTTTCCTTTTAAAAATCCTTTTAAAAAGTGCTTCAAAACTTCAAAATCGTCTTTTTTCTGCTTTGGCGTCGAGATTCGGTTTTGGAGCTGCAATTTCCGACACCATTGCGCATAGTTCTGTTGTGTTTTGCAACTCAGTCTGCAGATCGCATTGGAATGGCTGCGTCAAGGTTGCTTGGTGCCGCGGCTGCATGCGTAATACTATTGTCTTTTGCAGCTGAACATCGTAAATCGTATTGGAATGGCTGCATCAAGGC